TGAGTTGACAGTTTGATACTTTGAAAATTTTGAGCCAGCCCTACCCCCAAGGGCTGTAAGGTGGGGCCCAAAGGAGTCAGTGTGCTAAAATTTCTTCATTTTCCTTGTTTAGAATCAGAGGTGCTAGTTTCAAATACTTTTTAGTCTTAAATCTGTATGCTAGATATTGAATAAGGTGGTTTTATTGTTTTTTGTCACTTTGAATAATATTTCTGTTCGTGTTAAAAACAAAATCAACTCTCTGTATAAATGTATCAGGTGACTGTTAAGGCCCATGTGCCTCTTGTTTCTGTAGGAACCCTGTGTGAGTATGAGGTACGCCAAGGTGTAGAAGCCATCTTGTGGGGAATCGACGTAACTTTCACTATAGTCAGCACCTTGGAAGAGTGTCTGGAGTCCTGTGACCGTGCCCAGGTAACAGGTCTCTGCGTGGCGTTTGAGTTCTCTGCCTCCACTGGTCAGTGTGCCTTGTACGACAACAAGGATGATATTGTGTACAGACCCAACATAGACATGACCTTCTACAATCAGGCACGCTGCAGGAAGGAAATAGGTAATCAATTTCAAAATACATTTCATCTCATGTAGAAAACAGATCTGCCAAAAAGATACTTACAATTTTTGTCATTGTAAAGTTAGTGTCTTGGCTTGGCCCCAAATTGTTGTCATTGTAAAGTTTGTTTGTTGGCCCAAATTGGTGTCATTGTAAAGTTTGTTTGTTGGCCCAAATTGGTGTCATCCAAATCAAACGTGGTTCTGAAGTTTGACAGAATCCTCCATGGTGATTGGCTGCCAAGTTGCACGTTAACCTGAAGGAGGCGGTATCCTCAGTGTAGGAAGACTCCAGGAGTTGACATGTTTATTTCTGACACAGGAGAAATTGTTAGGAGTACAGCTAAATGCCTGCATCATTACAAAACAAGCATAGAATTTAATTATTTCATTTTGAAGTGCAATGGCTTTTGGCTTGAAAATAATATTCATTTGAATTCATAGCATAAAGCAAAAAATGCAAGAAGATAACACTAAAAGTACATAAACTTGTGATGACATATTTGTTTTGCAAAAAGTAGAATTATTTGATAGTGAAAAAAATTGTCAGACTTTTGAAATGACTGTATTGCAATAAGGTTAAATTGTTCTGAGGAAATATATTATGAATATTTCAGATATTCACATAACTTCATGATGACTTAAATGTCAGATGATGGTTTGATACAGTTTGCTGACAAATGTATAAAATGTTTCCCAGATAACTATTGATTGGCACAGCATTATAATGTAGGACACAGTTAGGAGCGTCTTTGCAGAGAGACGCAACACTTTCCCTATCACTGCTTCATTCATTAGTTCATTGCAATAAAGAAAATAAACAAAGGAGGATTCATTATGAAGTTTTCATTGGGTTACAAGCCTTATAGATCGTCTGATCTTTTCATTGCGTTACAAGCCTTATAGATCGTCTGATCTTTTCATTGCATTACAAGCCTTCTAGATCGTCTGACCTTTTCATTGGGTTACAAGCCTTATAGATCATCTGACCTTTTCATTGGGTTACAAGCCTTATAGATCATCTGACCTTTTCATTGGGTTACAAGCCTTCTAGATCGTCTGATCTTTTCATTGGGTTACAAGCCTTATAGATCATCTGACCTTTTCATTGGGTTACAAGCCTTATAGATCATCTGACCTTTTCATTGCGTTACAAGCCTTCTAGATCGTCTGACCTTTTCATTGGGTTACAAGCCTTCTATATCATCTGACCTTTTCATTGGGTTACAAGCCTTCTAAATTGTCTGACATGGTCTCATGTTACCTATTGCAGTTGCCTTTATTGTACATTATGATGTGTTGTTTGTAAACAATTCACATTTTTCACTTCTTATGAACACTGCTGCACCAATTTTGATAAAATTTTACAAAAAACAACCATGGTCAAAGAAAAGTAATCAATTTTGAGATGATTTGGTTCCACTTCTTTAATGAACCTGCGGGGCAAGCCCCAAAGTGGAAAAATTGGCTTAAAGTTAAAAAAAACCCAATTCAGACAAAGAAACGGCTTGCAGTGGCTAGACAGGTTTACTAACACCCTGTCTAATCTGGACAAATGTTTCAGTTCAATATTGAACTGCTTTGTTTTGTCATTATGCTTTTGTCGGTTAACAGTTGGAGTCTAAAAGCTATTTCTGCATGGTGTGTGCAATTACCCAACATATTATTGAAAAGTTCTGAAATATGAAAGTACAAAGAATGCAAGTCAATTTAGGTGATGCATGGGGTGACAAAATCAAACACGTTGTTACATAATCAATCACAATAATAATTTGTCTATGGGGGGTGCCCTGTCAAATGCTTGTAGGTATGGCCACACAGGAGGAAATCAATAGCGACCCTGTTGGGGACAAGTCATATTTGACCTTTTAATTCCCCTGCTGATGATTCATTACCATAGCAAAAGCTTCAGAGGCTGGAGATCTGAATTAACCTTGCTAATTGGCACCCACACACAACACAGTCTATCAGTTCACATCAAAGGCAGGAAGATTCCATTATAAATCTCAGGGTGGAACAATACCATCATCAATGTAAAGAAACTGTCAGATAAAAACTGTGCTGGCAAGATTTCTACAGAAGCACCATGTAGGCTGATAGCCTGGTCGCTAGAGTTCAGTGTGGTGGTAGAAAGCGCCATGTAGGCTGATAGCCTGGTCGCTAGAGTTCAGTGTGGTGGTAGGGAGCTCCATGTAGGCTGATAGCCTGGTGGTTAAAGTTCAGTGTGGTGGTAAGGAGCTCCATGTAGGCTGATAGCCTGGTCGCTAGAGTTCAGTGTGGGGGTAGGGAGCTCCATGTAGGCTGATAGCCTGGTCGCTAGAGTTCAGTGTTGTGGTAGGGAGCCCCATGTAGGCTGATAGCCTGGTCGTTAGAGTTCAGTGTGGTGGTAGGGAGCTCCAAGTAGGCTGATAGCCTGGTCGTCAGAGTTCAGTGTGGTGGTAGGGAGCTCCATGTAGGCTGATAGCCTGGTCATTGCGTTCAATGTGGTAGTAGGGAGCGCCATGTAGGCTGATAGCTTGGTCGTTAGAGTTCAGTGTGGTGGTAAGGAGCTCCACGTAGGCTGATAGCCTGGTTGTTAGAGTTCAGTGTGGTAGTAGGGAGCTCCATGCAGGCTGATAGCCTGGTCGTTAGAGTCCAATGTGGTGGTAGGGAGCTCCATGTGGGCTAATAGCCTGGTAGTTAGAGTTCAGTGTGGTTGTAGGGAGCCCCAGGTAGGCTGATAGCCTGGTAGCTAGAGTTCATTGTGGTGGTAGGGAGCGGCATGTAGGCTGATAGCCTTGTCGTTAGAGTTCAATGTGGTGGTAGGGAGCTCCATGTAGGCTAATAACCTGGTAGCTAGAGTTCAGTGTGGTGGTAGGGAGCGCCATGTAGACTGATAGCCTGGTCACTAGAGTTCAGTGTGGTGGTAGGGAGCTCCATGTAGGCTGATAGCCTGGTCACTAGAGTTCAGTGTGGGGGTAGGGAGCTCCATGTAGGCTGATAGCCTGGTCGTTAGAGTTCAGTGTGGTAGTAGGGAGCTCCATGCAGGCTGATAGCCTGGTCGCTTGAGTTCAGTGTGGTGGTAGGGAGCGCCATGTAGGCTGATAGCCTGGTCGCCAGAGTTCAATGTGGTGGTAGGGAGCGCCATGTAGGCTGATAGCCTGGTTGCCAGAGTTCAATGTGGTGGTAGGGAGTGCCATGTAGGCTGATAGCCTGGTCGCTAGAGTTTGATGTGGTGGTAGGGAGCACCATGTAGACTGATAGCCTGGTCACTAGAGTTCAATGTGGTGGTAAGGAGCGCCATGTAGGCCGAGAGCCTGGTCGCTAGGGGCTCTCCTGTTAAATTGTTGAATATCTTGCTGTTGTTTTACCCTCTACCCCCAAATAGTTCAGAGGGTTGTATATTAATCAGTGTGGTACCATGAACTCTTCAACAGATTAAGTGTGTATTTACACCTAAGTATGGTAACACCAAGTTTAAAATCTGGTTGGTTATGGTGGTTATATGGGTCAAGGTTAAAGGGTAAAAAGGTCCCACTTGATTTATTTTGAAGTAAAAGCGTGTGTATTTGTTGTTGATGCTATAAATGCTGTTTACAGACCCTCGCTGTGAGTTTGAGGAAGTGCGTGTATCAGCGGAGCAGGTATTTGCTACATGTAACATCCGTACGAGGACAGAACAGACTCTTGACCAGTGTAAGGAGCAGTGTAATGGCTGTCATGCCTTCACCTACGTGCCGGAGAGCGGGGACTGTGAGGTCCACAACAACAAGGCCTGCACCGCCATGCTGGATGAGAAGGGTGTGGCCCACTTCGTACAGAAATGCGATCATACCGGTAAGCATACTGCTAAACACTTATAACAGAAGCTTGTCAGTAGGTTTGTATACAGAAGCTTGTCAGTAGGTTTGTATACAGAAGCTTGTCAGTAGGTTTGTATACAGAAACTTGTGTGCAGGTTTGTATACAGAAGCTTGTCAGTAGGTTTGTATACAGAAGCTTGTCAGTAGGTTTGTATACAGAAGCTTGTCAGTAGGTTTGGAATAATTGTGATCAATGTAATTTTCTAAAGGTTATGATTTCATGTTGAATTTTCAGAACAATGAATGTATAAATATATGTTGTAGGGTCCAAGTGCGAGTACATAGAGATCATTCCGGGGAGCGCACCCTTCATGTGTAGCACCTCGTCTACTAGCACGGAGAACTTAGTCGAATGTCACGACGTCTGCGTCCTCAGTAGCTGTGAAGCCTTTAAGTACAAGATGGACCAGGCAGGCAGCTGTGACCTTTACTTTGACAAATCGTGTATCAATATGCTGGACAAGAGGAAGGAAAACTACTACGTACGCCGCTGTACCAACCCAGCAGGTAATCAGAAATAAAAACTTCAATGATTGCTGGAGATTTTTAAGAAGTATATAAGCCTTACATGGCCTAGAAGTCAACAATGTCTACCCATGGGTTACATTTTGCCTACCAGATGAATTCACTGTCAATACAGCATGAAATACCCATTGTGTACAGCTGTTACAGAGCCAATACCCACAGTAAATATTCGAGGGAATCAAGATTTGTTCTAAAAATAGATATTGGTATATTTGATAGGGAGTGTTACCTTGGTGCTTGGTCTAAATTTAAATATTGGTATATTTGATAGAGAGGGTTATCATGGTGCTTGGTCTGATGGTAAATATTGGTATATTTGATAGGGAGGGTTATCATGGTGCTTGATCTGATGGTAAATATTGGTATATTTGATAGGGAGGGTTACCTTGGTGCTTGGTCTAAATTTAAATATTGGTATATTTGATAGGGAGGGTTATCATGGTGCTTGGTCTGACGGTAAATATTGGTATATTTGATTGGGAAGGTTATCCTGGTGTTGGGTCTGATGGTAAATATTGGTTATATATTTGAAAGGGAGGGTTATCATGGTGCTTGTTCTAAAGGTAAATATTGGTATATTTGATAGGGAGGGTTATCATGGCACTTGGTCTAAAGGTAAATATTGGTATATTTGATAGTGAGGTTTTTCATGGTGCTTGGTCTAATGGTAAATATTGGTATATTTGATAGGGAGGGTTATCATGGAACTTGGTCTAAAGGTAAATATTGGTATATTTGATAGTGAGGTTTTTCATTGTTCTTGGTCTAAAGGTAAATATTGGTATATTTGATCGGGAGGTTTATCATGGTGCTTGATCTGATGGTAAACTTTGGTATATTTGATCGGGAGGATTATCATGGTGCTTGGTCTAAAGGTAAATATTGGTATATTTGATGGGGAGGGTTATCATGGTGCTTGGTCTGATGGTAAATATTGGTATATTTGATAGTGAGGATTATCATGGTGCTTGGTCTGACGGTAAATATTGGTATTTTTGAAAGGGAGGGTTATAATGGTGCTTGTTCTAAAGGTAAATATTGGTATATTTGATAGGGAATGTTATGGTGCTTGGTCTGATGGTAAATATTGGTATATTTGATAGGGAATGTTATGGTGCTTGGTCTGATGGTAAATATTGGTTTATTTTATAGGGAATGTTATCATGGTGCTTGGTCTGATGGTAAATATTGGTATATTTGATAGGGAATGTTATTATGGTGCTTGGTCTGATGGTAAATATTGGTATACTTGATAGGGAAGGTTATAATGGTGCTTGGTCTAAAGGTAAATATTGGTATATTTGATCAGGAAGTTTATCATGGTGTCTGGTCTGATGGTTAATGTTGGTATATTTGATGAGGAGGGTTATCATGGTGCTTGGTCTGATGGTAAATATTGGTATATTTGATAGGGAGGTTTATCATGGCACTTGGTCCGATGGTAAATATTGGTATACTTGATAGGGAAGGTTATAATGGTGCTTGGGCTAAAGGTAAATATTGGTATATTTGATCGGGAGGTTTATCATGGTGCTTGTTCTGATGGTAAATATTGGTATATTTGATAGGGTTATCATGGTACTATTTTGTGTTGTAGAGTGTAAGTATGAAGAGGTGAAGATGTCCTCCAATGACCCGTGCAGTATTGTGTCTAGTAGCACTGACACCATTGGCCAGTGTAGAGACGCCTGCAGTGATTGTGTCGGCTTCAAGTTTGACTACCAGACAGGAGGCTGTAGTCTGTATAACGAGGCATCATGTCTGCCGGACAAAAAACTCAACTTCTACATCATCAGGTGCCCAGGTAAATATTTCTACATTATCAGGTGCCCAGGTAAATATTTCTACATTACCAGGTGCCCAGGTAAATATTTCTACATTATTAGTGATCGAGGTAAAAACCTCTACATCATCAGGTCAAGCTAAATATAGTTATACCGGTATTCAGGTCTGTAGAGAAGTGTGAATATGTTCTCTTACGCTCATATAGGAAGTTAGGATTACATGATGTTGCATGTTTATGTTTTTACTTTTAGCAGAGGAACCCAAGGCTCCAGGACTCGGCAGTGAGGAGGACAAGCCAACACCCGTCAACATCCAGATCGGAAGCTCTGTGGACATACCACAGTCACAGAGTCCAGCTCCAGAGGAGACAGGGAATGAAGTCATCCCTCAGGAGAACTTGGTGATCGAGGGAGGGGCCCAAAAGATGGAACAAACAGTTACGAGTGATGTCAAGAAGGCAGGACCTGGAGCTGCTGAGATAACACCAGGAGCTTCGTCTGAGGAGGAGACTCCATCAGAGGGAGATTATGATGAAGATGATGACGAGGATGTAGATGATGAAGAGGAGGAGGAGGAGAATGAAGATTACAATGATATGACAGACCTGGAAAAGAAGATCATGGGCGTGAAGCCAATTATGGAGGCTGGAGATTCTCTGTGTACAGATGAGGACTACATCAAGTTCAAGGCTGACCTGCTGAGATATCACTGTGTTAGGTTTGGGCGCAAAGATTGCGACAAGACACAGGTACCAAGTAAGTGTCCACATCTACTACTGACATATAGTATACATCACTCACTGTGAGTCTATCTACTACTGACATATAGTATACATCACTCACTGTGAGTCTATCTACTACTGACATATAGTATACATCACTCACTGTGAGTCTATCTACTACTGACATATAGTATACATCACTCACTGTGAGTCTATCTACTACTGACATATAGTATACATCACTCACTGTGAGTCTATCTACTACTGACATATAGTATACATCACTCACTGTGAGTCTATCTACTACTGACATATAGTATACATCACTCACTGTGAGTCTATCTACTACTGACATATAGTATACATCACTCACTGTGAGTCTATCTACTACTGACATATAGTATACATCACTCACTGTGAGTCTATCTACTACTGACATATAGTATACATCACTCACTGTGAGTCTATCTACTACTGACATATAGTATACATCACTCACTGTGAGTCTATCTACTACTGACATATAGTATACATCACTCACTGTGAGTCTATCTACTACTGACATATAGTATACATCACTCACTGTGAGTCTATCTACTACTGACATATAGTATACATCACTCACTGTGAGTCTATCTACTACTGACATATAGTATACATCACTCACTGTGAGTCTATCTACTACTGACATATAGTATACATCACTCACTGTGAGTCTATCTACTACTGACATATAGTATACATCACTCACTGTGAGTCTATCTACTACTGACATATAGTATACATCACTCACTGTGAGTCTATCTACTACTGACATATAGTATACATCACTCACTGTGAGTCTATCTACTACTGACATATAGTATACATCACTCACTGTGAGTCTATCTACTACTGACATATAGTATACATCACTCACTGTGAGTCTATCTACTACTGACATATAGTATACATCACTCACTGTGAGTCTATCTACTACTGACATATAGTATACATCACTCACTGTGAGTCTATCTACTACTGACATATAGTATACATCACTCACTGTGAGTCTATCTACTACTGACATATAGTATACATCACTCACTGTGAGTCTATCTACTACTGACAAAGTATACATCACTCACTGTGAGTCTATCTACTACTGACATATAGTATACATTACTCACTGTGAGTCTATCTACTACTGACATATAGTATACATATACAGCCTCCTTATAGTAAATATTTAGAATATCCCTTATGTTACTAGCGAGGAACAGTCATAAAAATTAGATTACATGTATGTACTGTCCTCTATTTTAATTGTTTAAACAGTTACATTTTAAGAATTGCTTTTAATACCATAATGAACAATGAAATGAAAACAAATGTTTTCTAACAATCACCATTATCACCAGCTTGACCCTTTCACCTGTGTATTTCCTAGACAAAGAATACATCGCCACGCTGATGTTCAGCTACTACGATAGGGACATGGACGGAGCCGTGAACACACAGGAACTGTGGGAGACACAAGTAATCAACAAGTTTGGCAAACTGTCCGACAAATGTACCCTGGTGGACATCATGAAGTTTGATGACAGTAGAAATGATGACGGCAGTATGGACAAGAACGAGTTTGTCAAGGCTTTCGGTACGAAATATATCTTGCATAGTTCGAGGACAGAGGTCATTGACAAAATCAGAACGTGTGTTAAAATTCATTACTTACCACGTTTCAGTTTGTGTTCATCTTGATCACTGTGCATCATATATGATGAAGTTGGCACTTGATTACGATCGTAAGTTGTCAGTGGTCATATCTGAATAAGAATATTTTCATATCCATGTCTGCTACAGATTTTCCTGTTTTGGCTTGTAGAGATCCCTGTATGTTAAATATTTCTTAATATTGCTGCTTTGTGTTGTAGACATCCCTGAAGAGGTAATGAGACAGAAAGTGGAGCTTATCCCCATCCTGGCTACCATGGGTAACGGTCTGGAGATCCAGTGTGGTATCCATCCCACAGAGGGGTCAGAGGTTGTGTGGGAGAGACACACTATTGATGTGGCCATGGTCAGCTTCCCCGACATAGCTGTACGTATTCCTTCTGTGAAGTCCCAATGTACCTCATGTGTCTTAACGCGTAATTAACTCTTACGTTCCCAGTGTAGCTACTTATAAAATATTCTATATCAGGCTACCAAAGTTCTGTAATCACTATACATCCTACATCTAATTAACAACTACATCAAGTTTACTTGTTAACTTGTAGTTAATGACTGTGTACAAAGGGATCCAGAGGAAACACTGTCTTTCAAAGATGGTGGACCAAGCAAATCGACAATCTTTCTAAAAAATAAAAAAACCTGAAAAGATTACCAGCAATATAATTCATGCACCCTAAAATTCAAAATTCATTTCTACCAAAAAACATACAAGTTAAATGAGTTTTTATGGTTATAGACATGCATCCTTTGATATCCGAGTCAGTTGATGTTATATCAGTATACAATCTATCAGTATACAATCTATCAGTATACAATCTATGATATCTGGTTACTGAGTCAGTTGATGTTATATCAGTATACAATCTGATATCTAGTTACTGAGTCAGTTGATGTTATCAGTATACAATCTGATATATAGTTTCTGAGACAGTTAATGTTATCAGTATACAATCTATATATCTAGTTACTGAGACAGTTGATGTTATCAGTATACAATATATCAGTATACAATCTATCAGTATACAATCTATGATATCTGGTTACTGAGACATTTGATGTTATCAGTATACAATCTATGATATCTGGTTACTGAGACATTTGATATTATCAGCATACAATCTATGATATCTGGTTACTGAGACATTTGATATTATCAGTATACAATCTATGATATCTAGTTACTGAGCCAGTTGATGTTATCAGTATACAATCTATGATATCTAGTTACTGAGCCAGTTGATGTTATCAGTATACAATCTATGATATCTAGTTACTGAGTCAGTTGATGTTATCAGTATACAATCTATGATATCTAGTTACTGAGTCAGTTGATGTTATCAGTATACAATCTATGATATCTAGTTACTGAGACAGTTGATGTTATCAGTATACAATCTATCAGTATACAATCTATCAGTATACAATCTATGATATCTGGTTACTGAGTCAGTTGATGTTATCAGTATACAATCTATGATATCTAGTTACTGAGTCAGTTGATGTTATCAGTATACAATCTATGATATCTAGTTACTGAGTCAGTTGATGTTATCAGTATACAATCTATGATATCTAGTTACTGAGTCAGTTGATGTTATCAGTATACAATCTATGATATCTAGTTACTGAGTCAGTTGATGTTATCAGTATACAATCTATGATATCTAGTTACTGAGTCAGTTGATGTTATCAGTATACAATCTATGATATCTAGTTACTGAGTCAGTTGATGTTATCAGTATACAATCTATGATATCTAGTTACTGAGTCAGTTGATGTTATCAGTATACAATCTATGATATCTAGTTACTGAGTCAGTTGATGTTATCAGTATACAATCTATGATATCTAGTTACTGAGTCAGTTGATGTTATCAGTATACAATCTATGATATCTAGTTACTGAGTCAGTTGATGTTATCAGTATACAATCTATGATATCTAGTTACTGAGTCAGTTGATGTTATCAGTATACAATCTATGATATCTAGTTACTGAGACAGTTGATGTTATCAGTATACAATCTATGATATCTAGTTACTGAGACAGTTGATGTTATCAGTATACAATCTATCAGTATACAATCTATCAGTATACAATCTATCAGTATACAATCTATGATATCTAGTTACTGAGTCAGTTGATGTTATCAGTATACAATCTATGATATCTAGTTACTGAGTCAGTTGATGTTATCAGTATACAATCTATGATATCTAGTTACTGAGACAGTTGATGTTATCAGTATACAATCTATGATATCTAGTTACTGAGACAGTTGATGTTATCAGTATACAATCTATCAGTATACAATCTATCAGTATACAATCTATCAGTATACAATCTATGATATCTAGTTACTGAGACAGTTGATGTTATCAGTATACAATCTATGATATCTGGTTACTGAGTCAGTTGATGTTATCAGTATACAATCTATGATATCTAGTTACTGAGACAGTTGATGTTATCAGTATACAATCTATGAGTATACAATCTATCAGTATACAATCTATGATATCTGGTTACTGAGACATTTGATGTTATCAGTATACAATCTATGATATCTGGTTACTGAGACATTTGATATTATCAGTATACAATCTATGATATCTGGTTACTGAGACATTTGATGTTATCAGTATACAATCTATGATATCTAGTTACTGAGACAGTTGATGTTATCAGTATACAATCTATCAGTATACAATCTATCAGTATACAATCTATGATATCTGGTTACTGAGACATTTGATGTTATCAGTATACAATCTATGATATCTGGTTACTGAGACATTTGATATTATCAGTATACAATCTATGATATCTGGTTACTGAGACATTTGATATTATCAGTATACAATCTATGATATCTAGTTACTGAGACAGTTGATGTTATCAGTATACAATCTATGATATCTAGTTACTGAGCCAGTTGATGTTATCAGTATACAATCTATGATATCTAGTTACTGAGCCAGTTGATGTTATCAGTATACAATCTATGATATCTAGTTACTGAGACAGTTGATGTTATAATTATACAATCTATGATATCTAGTTACTGAGACAGTTGATGTTAACAGTATATAATCAATCAGTATACAATCTATCTGTATACAATCTATGATATCTGGTTACTGAGACAGTTGATGTTATATCAGTTTACAATCTATGATATCTAGTTACTGAGACATTTGATGTTATCAGTATTCAATCTATGATATCTGGTTACTGAGTCAGTTGATGTTATCAGTATACAATCTATGATATAACATCAACTGTCTCAGTGACTAGATATCAGATTGTATACTGATAACACCAACTGCCTCAGTAACCAGATATTATAGATTGTATACTGAAAACATCAACTGTCTCAGTGACTAGATATCAGATTGTATACTGATAACATAAACTGTCTCAGTAACTAGATATCAGATTGTATACTGATAACATAAACTGTCTCAGTAACCACATATCATAGATTGTAAACTGATATCTGGTTACTGTGTCAGTTGATATTATCAGTATACAATCTATGATATCTGATTACTGAGACATTTGATGTTATCAGTATTCAATCTATGATATCTGGTTACTGAGACATTTGATATTATCAGTATACAATCTATGATATCTGGTTACTGAGACAGTTGATGTTATCAGTATACAATCTATGATATCTAGTTACCGTGACAGTTGACGTTATACAGTATAAAATCTATATCTCCCTACTGAAATTAATGTCTTTGCCAGGTTTTCAGCGATGGAACCCTCTACTTTGACAATGTTGGAGTACACCACACAGGGAACTACACGTGTTATGACCGTGACCGTCCGGGGGTCAAACAGATCCACCAGCTACATGTCCAGAGTAAGGCCACATCAATCAATCTCAAATCAACCACTGTTACTTAAATGTTAAATGTTAAATCTTAAATCAAAAACCTTTAATTTTGTTTTGAATGTTGTTTCACAAACTTTTAAGAAAGACATTTTAACATGTGTGATCCTTAAGTTATCTTCATATCTCTGTTTTTATCTTTATGTTACTCTGAAATCTTCTTGTTTACATAAGGTAACCTTGCCTTGATGTCTGTGTTGGTTAAATTACCTTGATGTCTGTGTTGGTTAAATTACCTTGATGTCTGTGTTGGTTAAATTGCCTTGATGTCTGTGTTGGTTAAATT